GTGCAGACCTGATGAGTCTTCTTTAAATATTCTCTGAGTGTTAATCAAAAGAGATTTGAAAGTCAAAATCCACACCTAAATATTTAAAAGAACTCACCTGTTCAACTTACTCCCCATTAATTAGCAAAGGGTCACTAAATGTTTCTATTTGTAGTTTGTCCCACAACACATTTCTTTTGTCTTACTTAGGTTAAGCTGCAAGGAATTCTCTGTTGTTTCTATAAAGTAAAATAACTTATCATGAACATAGGAGGCTGAGAAATATGCAAATTTTACAAGAACATTGCAGACATTATAGGTTTTTGCATCTGAACTCTTCATATTAACACAATTCAGCTCCTCTTCACAAGGACTTAGTTTCCAGCTCTGCCCATCTCTTAGAAGTGGGCACCCATTTCTCTAGAGGCTGCGTTACGGGAGAGAGGGGTTTTGGTCGGAGGTGGGGACAGGGGTTATGGATGGGGTTTGGGGGGCTGAGAGGGCCTATTTAGCCCTCAGCAGCAGAACGTCCCCCTCTCACTCCCCCCTCCCCCGGGCTTTGTATGCCCTGAGCCCCACTCCTCCCTCTTTTGTCACCCGGCCATTCCGCTTTGCTTGGCACACACAATGGGAGCTCAGTGCTCGGGCTCCTGACGCTGCATTCTGGCTGCGCGCTGGGAAGCGAATGAACACGGCTGAGCTGGGGGAACCGGGACGGGGGGGGCTGAAACACCGTTTGACTAAATGCCACCCTGCCCCCCCAAACACCCTCACCAGCCTTCTGATACACACATACACAGATGGAGTGCACAAAACAAGTGCCATCCGACCAGACCATGGCACTCGGCGGAAAAACAAGCCTAAACAAACAAGTGTTCCCATCATGCCTGTGCTGGGACAGCTCAACTGGAGCGTGACTGAGCCTGGCTACATATGTGTTCTCTTTATCTCCTCTAGCGGGCTGCTGGGCACCGGGCCCATGCGGAATTTTAAGACCTGGCCCTCTGAGACTTGGGTCAGAAAATTAATGCACAGTGAGGGGGAACCAGTGTGTTTATTTGAAACAATTAAACCATTTCACGCCCCCTTGACAAATCAATCCAGGAAGACATGTGGTTGTGTTATGTAATATTAACGGTGAGTTACGGTTGGCATTACCAACAACAATAACAACATCTCACTTAATTGACAGTGGGATCAATATAAAAACTCTGTGTCTGAGTAAGAATTATAATTTTTTTCATTAAGGGGGAATATTTGCAGCTCACAAACGACAAATAATAACCTCATTAACAGTTTTTTTGTGTGTTTTGTGTTAGATTCAACAGTTCACAAATGAATCTTTTACATTATATCAGCACTTTGTTTTTCTGTGATGTAGAATTCTAGGCATGCAGGACTCTAAGCATGCACGCACTCAGTGAAACTTCAGCATTTTCAGCTGTGACTAATCTAAACAGCCTCTGATTGGCCACCGAACGTACAAGCTCAACAGAATTGTGTTGGATAGTTACTGAATGATGAAATAAATCTGATGAAATGTGTGGAGGTCTAAATGTAATGCTGTAAAATGTCACTTTATTTTTTTTTAATTTAACAGTAACAGGAGTAATATGTGAAGAGTTCAGATGCAAAAAAACTCTAAATGCCATCTAATCTTTTCTTCTAAAATTAGCATTTTTCTCAGGCTCTTGTGGGCAGGTTCATTAAATTCACTTTATGTCGATAAATAGGGTTTTTTTATCAGCTGAAAAGGGAAATAATTTAACATAAACATAGGAGGTTAAGAAAAAGGATAGTTTTTATAGGAAATTTCAGACATTATTTACAGGTTTTTGCATGTGAACTCTTCATGTTTAGTTTTACTTTTCAGGAGCATTTTTGGCCCATAAATCCTGAAACCTCAAGATAGCCTAAATATATTAGGCTACAATACACTAAATATATGAAGCGAATAATACAATAATAAAAATAAACATTTTAACCAGGATTATTAGCTTTTAAAAGTGTTACTTTATCTGTAACTATAATATAACTACGCTGTTATATTTTAAGAACATTTCCATACAGTAACAGTTAGCTATCAATTGACTTCCTTGAGTTTTTTTGTGTGTGTTTTAGTCATTTTTTATGTCATCTTTTCTTTTTTTTTACTGATCTTTCTTTTAAGATTAAATACAATATGGCCTGTTTTCTCCACTATTACAATAAGTAATGCTGTTGAGTCCCTGACGCATGATGCAGTGACCACAGGTGCATCCACGCCTGTCCCGTCCTGAACATCTGCGACTAGTGCCTGAACCCCACCAGCCTACACACGTCCACACTGCAGCTCAGAGATGGAGCTGTCTCAGTGGGCACAGCTCAGGCGGCATGGAGGGAAAGAGGGGTGGCCTGTTGTTTCTGTGTGCGCATATGAGGGTGAAGCAGAAGGTAAGTGTGTGTGGGTGTGTGTGTATGTGTGTGTGTGTGTGTGTGTGTGTGTGTGTGTGTGTGTTTGTAGGGGGGGGTCGAATTGTGGGTTCAGTTTGAGTTTCAAAGCCCTGCTTGTTCGCCTATATTTCACACCACAGTGACATCTTAAAGACCAGACAGGCCTGGTTGCTCTGCCCTCTTTTTTCACATTCAGAGGGAAAAGACAGAAGCTGGGGAGACTGCAGGAGGGGGGATTGAAATATATGTAAATAGCCCCCAAAGGGGATCCGAATTTTATGGGTTCAGAAATTTAGTTCAGCCAACCCGAATAATCAAATGTGGGAACAAAAACACCCACATCCAACCTACCAGAACTAACATCTGATGCTTGCCATGACTTTGCCAAGTAAGACCTGTTCTTAGAACAACAACATTCCTATCCAGAAACATGATTCTAACCTCTGAACCTAACCTTAACCAAAATTCAGGCCTACAATCAAAAACTTCGGATAAATAATATTGGAGTAGAAGCGCTAAAGCTCAAAGTTTGGTTTTCTGCCTAACCTTGACACTAATTGCAAACCTATCCATCAAGTCTGATTGGTTGAGTGGAATGTTGTTGTATCAAAAATGCTGATCCAGAAACACGTTTCACTTGTTAAAATTGTGTTCATCAACAAAGTCCATAGACCTTTTCCACCAAGGCAGTTTGAGTGCTGGTTCAGAGCCAGAGCCTAGTTTTAATTGGTTCTTTGTCCTTCCACATCTAAAGCATCTTCTAAGCAGAAAAAGTGGTTTATAAGCACCCAACAGAAGATTTTAAATAGCTGTTTTTTAAATATTAGCTAAACGCAAAGCTAAATACATTCTCACTTGTACTCTCTGTTTAACGAAATTGTGGTGATCAACTTTAGTAGCTGGATTTTAGATGACTGAATGTTTCTCCATGTTTGGATGCCAATGTAGGTTTGGCATGAGCATCAATCTGCTTGATAAGTTATACATCACGCATCAAAATTTCTGGGTCCATATTCAATTAGATGTCAAAAATGAACAAAAAGTACCAATATATGCTCGCAATATGCTTTAATACTAACGAAAATCATGATCTTTGATGGTCAGACAGTGGTCCGTTTTGTTTAAATGAGTAAAATATAGGGACCTAACATATACCCAGCGCAATACATGTTTGGCGCGATTTGTTGCTATTTTCAGACCAGCACAACCCTAATTTTCACATTTTAAATAGCAAATCCATTTGCGCCACTTTGTGGTCTCATGGGTGTGCCAGTCTAGATCGGAGGTGTGTTAAGGCATATTGTTGGTGCGATGCTATTTTGAAGAACTGAAATAGACTGAGCCATTGACCTCTAAAAACACGATAGTAATGCATCTATGTGGACCCAAAACGTTAACACATTGCTTAATACACACAGGATGTACCGCAATACACAAACAGCTTTACATATGAAAAAATTAAAGGATTAAAATGTTACAAAAATTATTATTTTCTACATAAATATAAAAACCACTACCTCCATGCCTTCTTCATGTCCAGTTTATTCATGAATAATTTGCATTTGTATAATGATATTATTAGCAGTGTTATTTATTATATGCATATTTCTGAACTGAATTAAGAAATAGTTTTTAAACAAATCTTTTTGCTAAACAAACAAACAAAAAATATATAGGCTAATGGATGCCTTCAGTGGAGTGATTTTCCAATGTTTCCTCATCCACGAAAGTAAAGGAGTAAAGAGTAAAAAGAGAAAGTGGCCAAATGGTGGAGACTTGTTCTTTATCCTATTGCTGCAAATGGTCTGTTTAACTGTTTTTTCACTAGTAACCCGTTCAGTTATTGAACTTACAAAGTCCTCCATTTAAATAGAAAATGTGCCATGGAGCAACCCAACTGACTCTTAAAGGCAATTGGAGATGAGTCTCTGATTAGTTTAATCCATGTTATGCTTAAAACACACCCATAACTCATTAAGAGATTAAGCACAACCCTGTTAGACCATGCGCCAGGGTGCAAAATTTATTTTTCTGTCCTTAAAATAGCAAAAGTGGATTCGGACATGCCATTAATGCTTTTGCGCCATGCGCTTTAGACTTTGCCTCTAGATCGTTAAAATAGAGCCCTTTGGTGTCTGACCAACACCATGATTTTGTAAAAAATACACTTTAATGTATGATACGAATAAGCAGTCATAATAAATGGATATTGAGATAGAATTTTTTCAATTCAAATGAGTAGAGGCTTGAACACAGAAAAGGTTTTTTTACATCACAACTTAACCAGCAGATAACAATGGAAGATTCACAATTGTTGATGGTGTGATTGTGTTTGGTGCTTCAACACTAGCATTTCTGAAAAGAAGTGAGATGTATTCATTGACTTGGCACTGTAGCAGCTCTCTAGCCTGTGGAAAAGCAAACCAGTTTTTAAAGGCTCGCCAGTCAAACCAGCTACAAACCAGCAATCGCACTAGCTCTGAACTAGCACCTGGTTCATGCTGGTGGAAAAGGGGTAATAGTCGGCCAAAGCCCACACATACACAGCCTCATTTCTCCAACAACTCCGTCATATGGTGTAATAGTACCTGAGAACAGGCTCCCATTGGGCTCTGCCAGTGAGACGAGAGGAAGATGAGGAGGGATTTTGAGGAAGGTGGAAGCAGACTTCATACCTGATCAGGCAGCACAGCCGGCTCCTGATTACAGCAGCATTTTACCCAGCAGGCCCTCTGCCTCATCCAGCACCTCTGAATATGGAGCAGACGGGCAGCCAATCAGCCCACGGCTCCCTCTCACCTAATGACAGAATTAAGGCTTGTTTGGATCGATTTTCTCAGACTTTACGGGCTTTCTGGAGAAAAAAAAAGCACACAATGAGAAAACTCTGTATTATTGCGTGGGAGGTCTAGCATGTAACAGATATAAAAAAAAAAAAAAAGTTTTGTTTGACAGATCTGAGGATTACGTTGGGATAGTAGTATGGGGACTTTTTCAAGAAAAGTGACGGTGGTCTATCCATAATTTTTTTTTTCCAATATTCTGGAAAAGATCCTCTCTTAATGCTATTATAACTCTCATAATGCTTTCAAATACTGTATACTACTTACTAAAAGAAGAGTTGCTATTAATGAATTAGTCAGATATGAATTTTGTTTTTTTACTAAAACTCTAAAATGTATGTGAATGCTATTTCTCAATAAAAGAGTAAATGTGAAAAGATGTTACATTTTAATGTAACCATGAATTTTCTATGATATTACCCTTTTTATGAATTAAAATAAACATGAATAAGCCACTTTATTAGGTACACCTTACTAGTAGGACCCCCTTTTGCCTTCAGAACTTTCTTAATCCTTCGTGGCATAGATTCAGCAAGTTACTGGAAATATTCCTCAAAGATTTTGGTCCATATTGACATGATAGCATCACGCAGATTTGTAGGCTGCACATCCATGATACAAATCTCCCATTCCACCACATCCCAAAGGTGCTCTATTGGATTGAGATCTGGTGACTGTGGAGGCCATTTGAGTACAATGAACTCATTTTCATGCTCAAGAAACCAGTCTGAGATGATTTGTACTTTATGAAATGGCACGTTATCCTGCTGGACGTAGCCATCAGAAGATGGGTACACTGCGGTCATAAAGGGTCAGCAACAATATTCATGTAGGCTGTGGCATTGACACAATGCTTAATTGTTATTAAAGGGCCCAAAATGTGCCATGGATGTATCCCCCACATCATTACACCACCACCATCAGCCTGAACCATTGATGCAAGACAGGATGGATCTATGCTTTCAAGCTGTTGCCGCGGATTTCTGACCGTACAATCCGAATGCTGCAACAGAAATTGAGGCTTGTCAGACCAGGCAACGTTTTTCCAATCTTCTATTGTCAAATTTTGGTGAGCCTGTGAAAATTGTAGCCTCAGTTTCCTGTTCTTAGATGACAGGAGTGGTACCCTTTATGGTCTTCTGCTGCTGTAGCCCATCTGCTTCAATGTTCGACGTGTTGTTCATTCAGAGATGCTCTTCTGCATACCTCGGTTGTAACAAGTGGTTATTTGAGTTACTAATGCCTTTCTATCAGCTGGAACCAGTCTGGCCATTCTCCCCTGACCTTTGGCATCAACAAGGCATTTGCACCCACAGAACTACCACTCACTGGATATTTTCTCTTTTTCAGACCATTCTCTTTAAACCCTAGTGATGGTTCACGTGAAAATCCCAGTAGATCAGCAGTTTCTGAAATACTCAGACCAGCCAGTCTGCCACCAACAACCATGCCACGTTTAAAGTCACGTTTGTAGCAGATCGTCTTGACCATGTCTACATTCCTAAATACATTGAGTTGCTGCCATGTAATTGGCTAATTAGAAATTTGCGTTAACTAGCAGTTGGCAGGTATACCTAATAAAGTGGCCGGTGAGTGTATGATGCATGTTATATTTTTAAATAAAATGTGCTTTCCTTTTCACTGACAACATTTTTTTACTCTGGGAAAATAGGTAAAAAGCTCTGTATCCAACATTTTACTTAAACCCATACATAATAAAACCAGTGAATCTAGAAACTAACTATTTTCATTTGTACAATTATTTTTTTTCCATCGCTGTCTATAAAAAGAAAGGTGAGAGATTTTTTAAATTGTTATTCTAATTTCTAATTATTCTAATCTCTAATTATTCTGAATTTATATGAATTAAATTGTTATAAATGTGTTAAAAAACATAGTAGTTACAAACTGTTCCTTAAAAATCACCACACGCATTTCAGACAGAGAATTATATTCATGATCTTAATGTTATAATGTCAAAAGAAAAACAGTGTTGGTAAGAAAAGGGCATTAGTGTGGTTGTTTTGGGCTCTGAATGAGTGAAATGAGACTCTCGTCTGCTGAGTGTTCAGTGATTCTCCTGCCATCAGAAGGGTCGACACAAAGCCCTCTGACACTCGGGAAGCACAAATCCCCTAAACTCTGTCAAACTGCATTAAATCCTCAGTGTGCTGCTCGTGGAGAACTAAAGGCCTATTAAGAACATCTTTCTAGTCATTATAGCGAGCAGATTGGCAGTCATAAAAACATGTACCTGATGAGCAGGGCTTCGAAACTGGTGAACAAACTGAAATCAAACGATGAGCAGAGTTTAATTCTGAGATCAGTCAAAAAAAAAATACAAACAAATAATGTGTTAAATGCTCAACATATAATTGCTTTTTTTTAATGCAGACATATTGTTTGTTGATGATGCCAAATTTACTTCAGACTTGTGAATAACTAAACAAATTAAAGTATGAAGAAGAAAAGCTTTTGTTTCAAATGCAGTACAAAACATAGTATATTTTTAAAAAACCACCACATGCATTTCAGACAGTCAGAAGTATTTTCATTTTATTTAATCTTAATGTTATAATGTCAAAAGAAAAAATGTTGTTAAGAAAAGGAAAACAGACAAACCTTTTGTTGCTGATGTCAAATTTTGTTCAGGCTTCTGTATATTGGAACAAATTCATCTGTAGGTAGAAAGAAAAGAACTTTAAATAAACTTTAAAAAACTTTAATAAACTTCCTTCAACTTACAACAAAATAAGTATATTTGACATTCTACAATAAAGTGTAATTTAAGTTAATTTAAGTATACTATTATCAGAGTACTACTGTTGTATTAAGTATATTATTTTAATATTTTTATTAATACTGCTTTTGGGACAAAATCGACCCACTTTTTCGATTCTAAAAATATTATTTTAGGTTTTTTGTACTGAAAGCGAACTTGTACTTACAAATTAACATTACATATAATGGAAAAAATGACTGCATGTCTACAAATAAACACTAATATTTTTCTGAAGAGGTGGAAAAGTATTACAACATATTTAAAGGTTACTTAACCTATCCCCACTGTAATTTGAGGTAACTACAATGTAACAAAATGTAACTTGATGTACAAATGCATCCCCTGAAAAGTAATTATGATGGCAGAACCTTTTATTTGTTTATTATATATATATATATATATATATATATATATATATATATATATATATATATATATATATATATATATATATATATATGTAAGCTATCTTCATTGACCCAATGTACATTTTAATTTTTGTATGAACTGTTCCTTTTTGAAATCACCAGACATTGTACTTGCTTCAGGTTAATTTTTACTTGTGAAGAAAAAAAAACATATTGGCCAAATAAATTCTAATGTATTGAATATATAACAAACTTAATGGCTGTTGCCATTGATGCAGCATTTTCGGGTTTCTTTGTTATGAATGTTACCACAAGCCGCTCTAAAAACTTGATAGAAATGCATGCACCTAATTTGAATTTTGGATTTTCTTTTTTGTGCGATCCTTCACATTAGAATGGAGGCCCGGCTACTGACACAGCTGTGTTCACTAAAGACTGTGCTAAAACTCTTCTAGCCAACTTCAAGCAAAGTCCATCTATCTTTAATTCCCTTGGTGTTACACACACATCATTGGCGACTGGGCCTCTCTCAAATCCTCCACTCTGATCCTGCTGTCAGTCGGTGAAGCGGCTTCACACACACACACTCACACAGGCCTCTTTTACATCTCAACAGACCAAAGCCAAACACCAACAACTCCCGATCTAAAGACGAATGAACTGCCAGAATGTTTTTGATTCTATTGACCCATTTATAGGGAAAATTCAGTATATTTATATTCTATTGTATATATATCAAATTGTTTTATTTAATTTTGTTTTAAGTTTATGTTAATAATTGTCTAAATTTGACAACTATGAAGTAAAATTATTTGAATAACGATAATATTAAAAGAACTGCATAATTCAGGAACATTTCATTGTTGTAATAATTTGATTTTGTGCATTTTTTATTTTTTTATGTTCATATTTTTTTACTTTTTTAATTTTGAAGGTAAACATTTGGATTATTTTGGGTTTTACCTTTAAAATAGAATGATTATAAAAACATAAACAATTAATTAGTAATATTATTAATATAATTCTGATTTATACACTACTATTAGTATTATTATTAAGATTTTGTGATCATAATAAATTAAAACATAAAATATTGTGAGAAAAAGGGAAAGGAGTGATTTAGTGACACAATGAGTCGTTTTTCTTTAGCTGTCATGTAGTGTTGTGCTGTAGGATGTGTCAGGGTGACAGTAGGATCAGGGGTTGAAGGCCAATCTTACTTGAGCATCTTGTTCTTCATGTCTCGACAGGTGTGTTCGCAACAAATTACATAGAGCTGCTATGTCTGTGTAGGTTGAATGTCATGTGCTAATTATTCTGGAGACACTCTTCGCATGTGAACACTGAATAAAATGAGATGTTTGCTTGCCTTTATTTAGTGCATGTCTGACATGTGCTGATTTGGCCTCTGGCGTCTAATGTGGAGTCCTGTGAAAACCACTGATCCAGCACCTCTCTGGCTTTAACTAAGTCTCAATATAGTGAAGCAGATAAATCTTTATGTAGGTCTCCAAGCTCACAGAAATTCATAAAAAAATGAATGAACTGGAAAAGGAAATTGTAGTCAACACATAAGAAATTATAACTCATTACATTTTTATTATTATTATTATTATTATTATTATAATATCTGTTATTGTTATTATTATTATTATTATTATTATTATTATTATTGTTGTTGTTGTTATTATTATATCTGTTATTGTTATTATTATTATTATTATTATTATTATTACTGTTCATTTAAGCTATTTTAAGCTTTTCTCTCAAGTTCAAAATAAAAATTTTAAAAATTACAATTAATCATATTAATCATTATTGTTAATTGTTATCAACAACAATAATTCTACTATTAATATGGATAATATAATATTTATTTTCCTTAATTAAACAACAGTGATCATATTAATGTGGATTATATAATTTAATATATTTTCCGTCAAATTTATCAACAACAACCATAATAGTAATTCATCAAAATATTTCAAGAATATTTGTTTATTATTATTATTCAATATTTTAATTAGGTTTTGTGTTTTTATAATACTTTTAATTTGGAAAGAAAATAATATTATAACAAAATAATAATAATAATAATAATAATAATAATAATAATAATAATAATAGGCTCATAGTTCAGGATTAAAATAATTTTAATATAATAACTAAATAACTAATTAATTTTACATATAATTTGCTTAACCTTAAAAATAATAATTCCTCACATACATATACATTTATATACACCTTGAAGACTGTTGACTTTCACCCGGTCCCACTCTTAACACAAACAAGTGTTGAGCAATCAGGTGAACAGACAACATCCGCCGCACAACCTGCGTTTACAAGACAACTTAAGAAAAATGCTTTTTCATGACTCGCTCAGTCACTATATCACTCCTTTCCCCTTTTTTTCTCCCATCGGTCCGGGCTATTAAATCAGCATCTTGACCCATTGACCCGAGGCCCGGGCTGTAAAGACGCCCCCCGCGGGTCACAGGCCTGATTGGGGCCATTTGAATATGAAATGCGCTCGGCTGGGCATGGAAACAGCCCGGCGCTGCGAGGGCCACGCTGACCCCCAGAGAGAGGCCCACCGATCAACGCTTCTCGGGACGGAGACTTTGCTAAGTATGGATTTACATGGGAGAAAAGGAGAGAGGGATGAAGGGAAGAGAAGGAGAGCATTTGAATAAGAGAAGAGGCAATTCCCGTTAGCATGACAAAGGGGCCTGCCATCATTGGTGATTGGTGTCACAGCGCGCCTCTATAGCAGGACGGGCCCCCTGCGTGGCTCCATGTGTGGAGCTCAGCCATGTTTATGCATCCGAGGTGTGATATTTGCCGGGGGTTTTGGACAGGGAGGGATGCGAATGAACTTTTTCGTTGTTCTACTTGTGGGACAAGAAAAAGTGTGCATTTTGGAGGTGCAACAAAAGTGCTTTAACTCTCGATTTGACTTATATAGAAGATTTTAGAGTGATGCAGGAAATATAACTTCAGCTAAAGTTTTCCTTCTCATATTTACTTGCATCAATGCAAGAAAATTCTTGAGTTTATTTGCTCGGACTTTAACAACCTTGTTGATTTTAATACACTTTTACATTACATTACGAAAACTAATAATATTTTTACATTATAATTAGGGCCAGACAGAATCTGTGAAAATTTTTGCTATTTCTGAAAAAACTGAATAAATATACATTTACATACATTTACACACAACAAAATTAATAGAATCAATGATGGGCTGAATATCTGCGGATTCTGTGTGGGCCTATTTATGTTTAATGATAAGTCGAGTGTACATGAAAGTGAAAATAACAAAGTAAAATATACGTAGTATGAATAAACACATATGAATACAAAATGAATACAAAAATACTAAATATGTGTACAAACATACCACACACAAGGTACAAAAGCTGTCACTGGGGTGGTACCTTTTTAAGTTAAATATAACCTAAAAAGTACACTGTAAAAAAATCCTGGTTGCTTTTAATTTTTAGGCTGAATCAAATGAAGCTTACGAGTCCATTGAACTTATATTATGTTAAACTGACTTCACTTATAAGCTTGTGTATCCTAAAAGATAGGACATGAATACCTTAGTTACAATAACTTAAACACATATGCTGTCAGGACTAATTGATCATATATTTTTTCACAGTGTAGAAAAGTGTACCTTTTGAAAAGTGAAAAGTGTTCCTTAATTTCAGAGGTAACATAATATCTGACAAGGTAACAAAGGACAAAATGTGTTACATTTTGTTACAAATAGTGTTACATGTGTTACAAAAAACAATGTCTCTTTTGTGCTACTGGAAATCAATGGAGATCAGTTTTTGATATTTTAACACTGTTCAATTTTAAAATAAAGCCAACTGTCTTCACATTTTAAAAAACATGAACAGATATTCATAGATATGTCCACATTTAAGCTTTTCATACAGTGGGATAAAAAACCTGACACTTCACAAACAGCTGACAGTTGTGACCTAAACGTGATACAACAATACAATCTAAATTTACACGTGTTATAGTGTTGGGGGTGACTCATTACAAGAAACGCGAGTTACATAATAATATCAGATTCTAACAATTAACACATTACTTTTAAAAGTAAAAAAAATAATATTAGAGATACTTTTTATTTTACTTAATGAACTTAAAAAAATACATTGCTGAATTAAAATTAGTCACAATGAATCGTGTAGTCAATGAGAGAATGTGTTCATTATTTTAAACCCATTAAGGAAAAGGAAAAGGGGATTTACTCAATGGACAGTGATTTTTATTTAAGACAAATTGTACAAAAGTAGCAAACACATTACTTTAAACTTTCAATAATCTGTACATTTGGCATTTATAACTCTGGGGTAAGGAAGTTCTGAGATAACAATATCCTAAAATATTATTTTTTTATATTATTTTATTTTTTTATTTTAAAGGGAAAATGTAGGTGTAGGTTATGCAGTTTGTTGTTAATTGCAAAGCTCCAAAAGAAAGAAAAAAAATCAAGTCCTCA